CACACATTAACATTAAGAAGAGTCACTTTAGGAAAACAGTTTAACATTCTAAAATGAGTACCAGGTGGTGTTTTCCTTCTCCCTCTCTCAATTCTAACAATAAGACCCCAATGATTCTATTTTTAGAAGCTGAAAGCAATTTAATAGGGCTTTTCAAGGGGAGCTGCTCTTTCAGAAGTAGCCTTTGAAATGACCATAATTGATGATAATTACTCTCAGAAATGAATAAAGAGCAATAAGCTTTAAAAAATCAGATAGTCAAAGAGATACCATACCTTAAGGTGCGATTTTGAAAATTATGCTGACCCATGGGTACATCCTATATTGAGAAAAAAGGTTATTAATTGTCAAAAACATGTTTCAAGAAGAATGTTGCAATGATAATGAGGTGAAACATATTTCCTCTTTTATCATGGACAGTAACATTTAGCTAACAAATAATTAATTACTCATGTGGAGAAAAAGAGCTTAATCCTAAATCAAGGTGTAAACTCAGTTTATCTTTGGAATGTTGGTGTAATCTCTAAACTCTGGATGCTAGAAGCATCAGGATTATGGTCTGGAGTTTTAAGATTTATAGCCTGCTATTATCACATCTGATTTCAAACAGCGGCCTGCCATTTGAAATCAGGGGACTGATATCAGAGTTACCATCAGTAACCTATAACCATGTGAAAATGGACTTTGGTATCAGACAAATATTAGAAAATGCTGTAGAAAGAACAAAAATCTGTAGTCATCCTCATCACTGAACTGGGGTGTTAAGAAACAGTACCATTGGTTAAGTATGTGAAATCACAAACCATCGGACAAAAAGAATAAATCAGCAAAGGGGTGCTGGTAGTTCCCGAAAGAGAAATGGAAGAGAAATAGTCAGAATTTATCAGTGGAAAAGCCATTGCCAAATATTCAATAATAGGCTTTCAAGGAAAGATCGCCTTTCCACATTTATAGTAGGAATGAAACTAAAAGTTGGAACAAAACTGCTCCAAAGAAACTTTGGTTTGCTGCTTTGATTTCCAAGGTTATATTAGGATATGGATTTAGCCTACAGAAAGGAAAGACGTTTTTCAAAAAGTAATTGAGCTCCAAGTTTCATTCCATACAGTAAAGTAATGTATTATTCAAGAGCTCTATCAATGTTGAATCCAGAGTGAATGGAGTTCTGCATAGGGGATTAGATAAAGGAATCACTTTCTGCAATGTCAATTGTTTGACCCTGGGATTTATAAGTGAAAACTCCAACAGGGTCTTTCTGAAAGTGAATGAGACACACAGTTAAGTCAAAGTGGTTTGGGCTTAATGCATCACCAAAAACTTGGGACTGTCTTAAAATATGCTAGACTGCTGCTAAGGCAATCCAAGCCTGGCTTTGAACCTGCAACAGGTGGGACCAGATGGTTAAGAAAATAGTGTTCGTTCAAGAGGTCCTTTAATTTTTATAAACAACTTTCTGAAGCTGAGACACTCAACAGTTGTAGCTGTATCTTGAAGAAGGCATCTTCATCAACACATAACACCAGATTAAAGTCAGATTGAAACCATTCCTGGGTCCTACGCTCAGATAATAAAAGAGATAGTCACTCTTAAGTCTTAAGACAATAAAGGCTGACAAGAAATCAACAACAACAACAATATACCTGGGAAAGTAAGCCTTTTCCCCACAGGAACACATGAAAAACAGCACGGGAAATCATATCCAGGTATTTATATATGATTCTTATTCCTTAAAAACCAACCAACCAACAAACCAATTGCTGGTGTACAGTAAATCCTGATGGGAAATGTAGTTATCCAACATAGCACTAACTAGCAAGACTGAGGCTAACTTATCCAAATCATTGTTTTTCATGAGTGACAGAAACACCGGCTTTCACTGGTTGGACACTGGAGTCCTAGGATGCTGTTTCTCTAACATATCTAAATGCTGGAAGGCCCCAGTTGTCCCAGGCCTTCCTCCTTGGATTGTTCTCTTCTTGATGATTTTATCCAGTCCCATGGCTTCAAATATCATCTACAACCTGATGATGTTCACATTCATGCCTCCATCTTGGACCTGTCCTGTGAGTTTTAGACTTGCAGATCCAACCATCTACATCCTCGCTGCACTTAACTATGGATTAGAAGATGTCCAGCAGAAAATCTTAAATTTCCATCTTAAATAACCTGGTTTCCCCCTTGTATTTGTCATCTCAATTAATGGCATCATCATTGTTCCAGTTGTGGGGCCAAAAAGTTTGGATTCATCTCTGTTCCTAATGTTCACGGATACCCAATCCATCACCAAGTCTTGTTGGCTCTACTTTCATATTAGCCCCTGAATTTGCTTCTCATTTAGCAGTGGTGCCAAACTCTTAGCATAAGGGGATATCATTCTTACCAGGTACCCCTGCACTCTTGTTCCATTATTCCAAAGCCTAAATTATATCATGATCCTCTCTTGCTTAAGATTCTCCATGACTTCCAATTGCACATAGAATGCCATATAAACTTTTACCATTGTGCATCTCACCCCACGACCTCCCTTTGCTCATTGTTCATGATACTCCAGCCACAGCAGCTTCCTCTCTGTCTCCAGGGGACACCACACTCACTTTCATCTTTGGGCCACTGACTTTGTTCTTCTGCCACCTCCTCTTCCCATTCACTCATTTCGCCCTCTGAAACTCCCTCAGTTGACCTACCACAGTGACCATTCCATTTACTCTGGATGCCATCACTCAATTTCATCTTCCCCATGACCCTCATCAGCACCTCATGTGATCTTGTTCATTTATTTGTTTTTCTATCTATGGTCCCTCTTTGGCTATTAAAATGCAAATGCTAGGACTTGTGCAGTCTTACTGATTGTCTGATGGGTCATGGTCTTCCGTCTGATAGTCCCATTTACTTTTGAGTTGAAAAAAGATGAAGAGAAGTTGGGAGAAGAAATACAACTGAGCCAAAACATGAATGCTGAGGCCCTGCCTGTTGGGTGTGGGAGTGTCACTTTGAGACCTTGGGACGGGTAGGGGCCCAGGGCGACTGAAAAACTCCACTTTCACCTGACAACTGGCATGTTCCTTCTCATCAGACAATAAGAATTACGTAATATTATATTTTTAAAAATCGTAACTGCATCCTTAGCACAGTTAGTAGCATTATCCACGAAATTTTACCCCCAGATAGTTTTAAAATCTAAAAATACTATGGGGATTATACTAAGTGCTTGGTTGTATTCCTTTTCTCTCCTCCTATGGGCCTTTCTATTTTCCATCTCCATTGCAGCCATCTTATCGCAGATGTCCCTGGTGTAAGGAGCTTCAGTGCTTTCTCATATGCTGGAAGTTGGAGGGAAACATGGAACCATAACAAGACAGTGTCCACTGCTGCCAACACAGCCTGGACATTTGTGCGGTGAAGAAACGGGCTTGATGATACTACTCAAACTCTAAGGGCATCATGCCTTTGTGTTTTCATGAAGAACCTCAAGGCTTTCTACTTCATGATATAAGTTTTTCTTTAAAAACCCCTCAATTAAAAAATAGTTGTATTTAATTGCTACTATCAGTTGTAAATAACACTGTCTATGAAGCTATAATGCAAAAAATCACGCTAGGGTGGAACCCTTAGCAACGTCAGCATGGAGCTCACTTGTACCCTGATGGCTGTTTATAAGGGCCTCTCTAAGAAGGAGAAGGTGGTAAGTTTGTTTCTTGCAGATAGGAGTTATTTTGGCAGGAGATGCCCAGCCTTTGGTTTTGGGAAGTTAGCTTGCCCCCAGGGCTCAGGCATTGGAGGCAGGGGAGGGCATACCGTGGTGCTGATCTTGCCGTTCTCTGTGGTCATGCTGTCCCTGTGATGTAGGTGTGCAAAGGGCTTGGCCGCCCCCCAGGACTCCAAGTACCGGGTCATGCGGACCGAGGCCCTCATTTTGGCTCCGTCGAGGGTGTGGCGAGGTCTGAAGAGATGCTGGGGGCTCCGTCGTTCTCCCTTGGGGTGAGAAACAAAGCATCACACCCGGCCCAGCACAGGGCCACACATGATCCTTTCGGCATCAAACTCATTGGACCAGGGTCATATTCCTCCTGACAGACCTCCATTCACCCTCTGTGCTTTCTGTCCTTATTCCTTCAGTGTTACTGGGGAACACACTATTTGAGTTGAGGGATTTTTTTTTTCTTTTTTTTTTTAAGCTAGCAAAACATACATGTAATTGAGACTTAGGAAAAAATAATGACATGTTAATGGACATTTTTTATTAAGTAAATAGCTTTTCCTTGATGGTTGTGTTTTTCTAAAGTGATAAGTGTAGCTGTTTCTAATGCTAAATAGCCCCAAACATCGTGTTTTGGTGTTCTTTACCTGAGCATAATGTTCTTTGCACGTGTATTTTTTGAGCACCTCCCCCATCATCTCCCAGTCCCTGCTGCTTGCCACACATCTATCTCCAGATCGATCATCAAGCTAGTTGAAAGTTTGTCTTCAAAGGTGAAACTGGGGCTTCCCAGATGCTACCATAAGTAAATGTCCATAAAGTTGGTCTTGTTGATTTTATGATATTGGTTTTCATGTTTCAGAGGTCTTTCTTGCTGATATTTGCACCATTTACCAGCTGTGAAATTTGGGAAGAGTTACATAACCCCGAAAGCTTCAGATTCTCAATCTGTAAATAGTGATAATACCCATTTGGCAGGAATCTGAGAAGGGTTAAAAGAAATGAGAACTCTAAGCCCCTTGATCTGGCCTAAATGTGGTGTGAATGAAATAGGAGAGAGTTTCTCACTGTTTGTATGGGGTGGGTCATCTTCCAGGCAATAGATGCTTTTATGTTATGGAAGGTAAATATGCTTGTGCACACAGACCTCTCCCAAGCATGTCTATGTAATATTTATGTGTTACTCTTTCAAATATTTCTTCTCTTTTTTTGTATATGTTCATCCTATTTTACTTAATTAGATTTTTATCTTCTAAAGCCCTAAGTAAATTATTTTCTCTTTATTTAATTTCCCAACTGACAGGTATCAACAGCTGTGCCCACTGAGAGGCTTTCAGATGCAGCATCCACCAAGGTGTGTTATCCACCGACTAACACACATGACAGCCTGAACCAGCAACCTGCATCAACACCCTCATTCTGCGGACAAGCAATGCATTTCAACTGCTCATTTAATAAATATCTGAATTCATGATTACAAAACAGCTTCCATTTTTAACAATTAAACCACCATATGCATTTAAAATCATTTTGGGGACAAAGAGTAGCAAAAACTTATATTGGATATTGACTAAAAACACTTATGAATATCTATAATTTGCTCCTTTTCCCTTTTCATCATAGACTCTTTACAACAGTACTGACCTTGGGGTTGATTACAAAGTAGGTTTTCACCAGGTGCTGCTTTAAATATGGGTCCCTAATGTCACCATCTCCCTCCTCCACTTTATAAGCGCCATTCAAGTGCTCCAGGGTGACGGAAGAAATGTGAACACGTCTGAAATTGCATTTTAAAATCACAGTCAAGACACAAAAGGATAAGTGTGAAGAAAGTTGTTCTATTTGCTCATGATTTCTGAAATAATGTATCCACCAAATGAAGGAAAGTCTACATGTTCTTGGGAGCACTGACTGCAATTAACTTTAATATAAACTTTTATATTCTATTGACCACTGCTTTGGAAAGATGCTCTTGGAGGTCATGCACTACTAGTTTTGGAGTTTCTCTGCATTCACAGAAACCTGCATGTTGGGTGTGGTGAATTACAGCAAATACAACTTTATTATCTCGTATCTTTTGGAGAATACCTTTTGAAATGTATGTCATGGGCATTTTAGAAGCATGCTAATCTGTATAATAGTGTAGATTTTCTTTCTCAGTGCTTTCTCTTGTGCTTCTCTCAACTATAGCCCTTGATAAGGATTCTCTTGACTGAAATATGTTATTCTGCTCAGAGAAGGATGCTGTAGTCACTTATTTTAATATAATGGTTTTAAAGGTCAACAGTTCTGGACAGATGCCATATCTGGACTGTATTGTAAAACATCTTTAAATCAGGTCTCTAGTCATACATTTGCAAATAAGTAAAAGTTTGTAATTTACTGTCTGATATTCACAGTCTTTGAACTATGGACAATAGGGGTCATGGTGTAGGGACTTGAGAGCTCGTCTTTATCTGCTTAATATAAGAGGCTGTTGGGCATGAGTAACATGATACCAGCAGAGGCAACAGAAGTGATCAAAAACTGAGCACTCCATCATTAGGCCAATAATCTGTCATTCCTAATAGTGCTGTCTGCTTGAAGAAAGAAATCCAATGCTTGGCCTTACCCAGGGACCCCTCCAGCTTCCATGTGGTTGGCCAAGGTCACGTCATGTGACCACACATCATACTGCCACTTCTGCAGACCAATCACGCCGCACAGGACGTTCCCAGAATGCACGCCCACACGCATGTTGATATCAACTCCAGTAGCATCCCTCACTTTCCTAAAGAGAAGGGAAGTGAGATCATGATCAAGTAACATCCAGTGTTTCCTTTAACTCTTGGCCAATTTTCCCACTGTTTTATTATTCAGAATTTTTCAGACTGTTGGAAATGGCCATGAACCTTCCTAAGGCAGGAGATCACTCCTTTGAGCTAAGAAGGGTTTTTCCTTCCAATCATTTCAGATTAGACCAATGTTCTTGCCATTAAAGCCAGATTAGGCCAGACTATAGTGATGACAAAACATTTTGGCTATAACTTTTACTTCTGCAGTGAATATGTATCAAGCAACTACCATGTGCTGGCACTTGTCTGCATTTTCATACTTGAATCAGGTGACATTGCCTTGTAATGTCAGAAACAGTCTTAAACAGGGTTTGCAATTTTAGTGCTTAGCACAATGTACCTCACCAATGAATATCTTCTGCTAATAAGAGAACAATATAGCTCATCTGTGAGCTTAATAATGACTTTAGCTTAAATAAGAATTTTTAGCAAAATAATCATGACATTAAGCCTTTTCAGTTGTGCACATTCTTTAACAAAAAGAGAAAAAATACTTTTTAGGACCCTATCACCAACTCATTAATGGAAAAAAGTGATGAACTTCAATGAAGAAAAAATGGAAATGCTTGGCCATGCTTATTTATTCTTGCTAGGTGAATACATTAAAGTAGTATTGCAAAAGAAGTATACAGGAAGATATTCCTAATTACATCGCGAGAATTACCCCAAGAGGCGATGTGGAGGGAAGCAACGATGCCGACCGCAGCACAATCAAAGAAAGACACTACCACTTGTGAATCGTAGTGAAATGAATCATTAACATCTCAAAATGGCATAGGCATGTATGTCATACTTAAATGATATAATGATACCATTTTAGCATGCTAAAAATGATCAAACGAAATGGACCCACGATGTAAAAATAAATCGCATTCTGAAAAAAGAATACAGAAAGATATTTTCCTTCCTGTTTCCTTTCCTTTTTTTCCCCTCACTGTCTTCCTTTCTTGTTTCTGCAAAAAAACCCAGCTACCCATTTGGCTCTATGCAAGTCATCCAAACCTTTCCTTCCTGCCCCACAAAACCAGCCAGAGCATCAACAGGACAAGGACACCCACCCCCACCCCTTTGCCCTGCATCTGCAGGCTGCGGTTGTGTGAGCACCAGGGCGTCCTCACCTCCAGACTTTGCTTATAATGACTCCTCTTCCTGCTCTCCATGCCCCCAAGCCTCCCTTTGGTGTCATGTGGTCAGCTGGCATTGTTCTTCCGGGCTCAGGCACAGCCCCATTCAGAAAGGCTTTCTATTCTCTCCCCTCTAGGTTGGTCTAGGCAGCCCTGCTGCCTCTGTCCTCTAACTGCCCTAAGGGCAATTAGCACTTCCTGTCTGTCTCCATCTCTGCCCTCAGCAGAAATTCAGCGTGGGTGGACACAATGTCCTCCAAGTGGATTGTTTCCCTCTCAAAGGGTTCAAGGCCCAGTGCAACCACTTCATACAAGATTAATAATGGACCAAGGTCATTTTTGAAAAATGTACTGTGCTTCTGTCTTTGAGCAATGATGATCCTGAAAAATTTGTTAGAGAACCCATAATTGTTCTTAACATTTTATGTTGTTGAGAGGACATTTCCAACCACGTGGCATTTCTGTTTACCAAAATAGGCCAGCAGAGAGCCAAGGAAGGATAAAAACGGAGGAAAAAGGAGTCTCAGATTGTCCATTTGATAGAGCTGAACTCCTTAATGAGCTGACTGGTTAAAACATTAAAACTGTCTCCATGTTTTTTTTTTTAAATGAGTTGACCATGGGTTCAAATGGATCAACTCGCCACATGTTTTGTTGCATGTATATGCAACTTACGAGCTATAGAAAAATGTTGAAATCATTGCTTAAAGCTTGCAACAGTAGTAGGCAAACAGTACAGTTTAAGAGAAGGCTTAATCCCTTATAAAATCAAGGTCCTTAATATTACTTTATTAAAAATAATTTACATGTTCATGACAGAAAAAAGAAATGTTTCTAAGCATTGGAGATGTTCCAAAACTGCAGCTGAAGTGCCTCTGTAGCAGTGCCTGGGCTCGCAGGGAATGAGGTGCTGCTAAGTGTGGAGGTGTGAACACAGAGGGAAGAGCGGGCAGCCGTCTGGGACTCATGCTGCTGGTTCCTATGACACTGAGACCATCTGGCAAAAACCCAAGTGCCAGCTGTGCACATTCCCCTCACTAGCTTAAAAACTGACAGTTCCTGTCTGGTACCCATCCCACCTCATGCCTCAATGAATGGGAATGGAAATACGCGTCCTTACGTGGGAGAGAGGATGAAAGTGGACAAACAATTCCTGGAACTTGCTGAGATGCCCTCTCTGTTGCTGCACTTTCATAGGGGTGTAACAAAATAAACTTTTTTTTTTTTTTAAAGACAGAATCTTGCTCTGTCGCCCAGGCTGGAGTGCAGTGGACAGTGGTGTGATCTCGGCTCACTGCAACCTCCATCTCCTGGGTTCAAGTGATTCTCCTACTTTAGCCTCCTGAGTAGCTAACATTACAGGCGTGTGCCACCATGCATGGCTAATTTTTATATTTTTGTAGAAATAGGGTTTCACTACGTTGGCCAGGCTGGTCTCAAGCTCCTGCCCTCAGGTGATCGGTCCACCTCAGCCTCCCAAAGTGCTGGGATTACAGGCATGAGCCACCATGCCCAGTCCAAAATAACCATATTATTGATCACCTTGTCTACAATACATGAAGCAAACAGAGGAATAATGTGGAATTCCTTGTTCCTCAAGTGGCAGGTAATAGGGACACAAAGCCATTGCCTGACTTGAGGATTGAGTTGAGGGATTAGCAAGAATTGGGAGAGGTCCCTCAAACCTGTTGACATTACTGAGATTCTGCAGACGTAAGGTATTACTGATGCATCAATGATCAAAAAATAAATAAAATGTGGTATATACCTACAGGGGAATATTATGCTGTCATCCAAAGCATCAAAAGGTGCTGACACATGTCACCACAAAAATGAACCTTAACAACACTAGGCCGAGTGACAGAAGCCAAACACAGAACGAAAGATATTATATGATTCCATTTACATGAAATATCCAGAATAGTAAAAATCATAGAGACAGAAAGTAGAATAGGGATGACCAGGAGCTGGGAAAGGGGTAATTGGGAGTTACTGCTTAATGGGGACGGAGTTTCTCTCTGGGGTGATGAAAAGGTTCTGGAAGTTGACAGTGGTGATGGTTACACAACACTTTGAATTTACTCAACATCACTGCACAATTGTACATTTTTATGTCTCATCGTACATTTTTATATACACATAAAAATGATTCAAAGGGTAAGATTTATGGTATACATATTTTATCACAGTAAAAAATGTAATAGTATTTCTAATGAACTGGTGACATGCCAGTGCATGTAATGTAAGGATTCTTTCTTCTAAAAGATCTTCAAGACATTGGAATAACTGAAACATTATGGAATTGGAAACTTCATTCAAAAGCAGAACCAAGGCTTTGTAAATAGGTGGATTCTTTAATCCAGTGTGTTATTGATGCACATAATTTTGCCCTTCATAAGACTCTTTTCCACAACTACTTGAAAAGGAAATAAAAAAAATACTTCTCTCCAATATTACTCATTTCACCTCATGTGGTTGTCACCAGCGACAGGCTACAAATTTGAAAAAAATTAATATTTTTTTAAATCCAATAGTTCCACTGATTGGATTCACTTATATCTAGGTCCATAGAATTATAAGTAGTTACTTACTTTTGGAAAAAAGCTAAAAGCTATTTTTCATGTATCAGAGAGTACATATGATTACTTATGGGAAGAAGCAATTATGGTTATTTCTCACACTACGCATTTTGTATAGGAAACTGAGTTCACACTAACTACTCTTTGCATCTCAACTCCCCCATCGACTTCATTTCCCTCCCATTTCTGATTGGTCCGACAGAAGCATGCAGGAGTTTGCTACAGAGCTAGTGAATATGGAACATGTGGGTCTCTCCATTTCATTGGCTGAGGCTGTGTGTGTGCGTGTGTGTGTATATGTGGTGGGTGCGGTGGGGAGATGGCGTGGGGTGGGGGCATTAATCTTCCCAGGACTGGGCTGTGGAAGTCACCTGTTAATATTTTAGTCGCTTCAGCATATGATCAACACAGTGACAACAGGACTTGATGTATTCTCACATAAAGCCCTTTCTACTTTAATCGTGAGACATAGAAGAAGAACATCAAGCTTGTAATTCCAACTCTGTTCAGATTTTTTTTAAAAAAGTGGAGGATAAGGTCAAATCATTTGACCAAAATGGACAATGAAAAACCCAATGAAGTACAATATTCCAATCATGCAGTCAGCAAAAAAAAAAAAAAGGCTTTATTATTTATAAGAATGTTCTGGCTTCTACAAAGGGCATTACTAAAGAAGGTACTGCTAATAAAACTGTGATGCTGGTAATAAAAATTACCTTTTTACCTTATATTTTTACCTTGTAGCAGTCAATAGTAATGATATCATTATTCTATGTAAGCAAATCTTCTCTGGAATCACAGTGAAAAACATTATAGATGCAATGCAGAAAATATATGTTACAAATA